TGAGATCTGAGGATCACGGTTCAAAGCCAGCCAGGGCAGGAAAGTGTGTAAGACTCTCATCTCCAATAAACCACAAGAAAACTGGAAATGGTGCTGTGGCTCAAGTGGTAGAGAGCTAGCCTTGAACTGAAAAGCTGAGGGACAGCCCCCAGGCCCAGAGTTCAAGCCCCATGACCGACAAAAAAAAAACAAAAACAAAAAACAACTTGCATCTTAGAAAAACATTTGTGTCAGCGTCCTTTATTTAATTACTGTCTTACATAGTACTACTAATTCAAGTAAATAGAGCTACTGAGCTTTCATTTTGTATAAACCACCATGTTATGAGTTTCAGAAGATTTCAAAAGAGAAAGTCACTGCCTTTGCTGGTTACAAGGTAACACAGATGAAAATAAAAGTCTGAAGCCAAAAAGAACAGAACACAAGGCTAACTGTAATTGTCACAGCAAATGGAAAGGAGATCTGGGAGATCAGATCACGTGTGTGGGAATCCACTCCAGCTGGTAGACAGAGATGAACTTAGAAATAGCAAGAGCAGAAGGGAAGGGGGGGAACATGCTGGAATGCCATCACATTTGGTGGACAGAGCTGCAGCAGACAGAGGAGGTGGGATGCAGAAGGGACCCAACAATCAATGTGGACGTGGGATCTACTGAGTCAGGAAGGGGAGGGAGAAGCTTGTATGACACAGAGCAATCTGGATTTTTCCTCACAGAGTTCCCTGAAGTGAACGGTGTGCTTTCAAGGCCATACAAAAAGGGTTAAGTAAAGAAGACAAGGCAAACAAACAGGGGCGCTAACTGTCCCGACGCTCAGGAAAACTGGCATAAGAAGCAAAGGAAGAAGCCAAGCACTGGTGGCTCACACCTGTAATCCTAGCTACTCAGGAAAGCCATCTGAGGATCAAGGTTCAAAGTTCAGCCCAGGCAGGAAAATCCAAGACTCATCTCCAGTGAATCAGCAAAAAGCTGGAAATAGAGGCCTGGCTCAAGTAACAGAGCACCAGTCATGAGTTCAAGCCCCAAAGCGGGCACATACATACTCGCAACATACATACATGCACACACACACACACACACACACACACACACACACAAGCAAAAGGGAAGGAGGGACCTTTAAGTAGAAAAAGGACAAGAAGGCAGAGCAAGGGTCTCCATTCCTTTTAATCATATGAAATGTATTCAACAGTGTGAAACACTTTGTTTCCTCTTTAGCCACACTATTTTTCTAGCACCACTCGCTTCAAAAGCATTCCTTTCTTGTTCACACCAATTCCTCTTCTGAATCATGAGTCAGTTTTGGTCATCTGTCCATTCTTGCACCATTGGCATGAATGTAACAATAATGGAAGTCTTTCTCAAATGTTCTGAACTATACTTATGTAATTTCCTGGTTTTAAGAAAGTTCCATTCATTTATTTAAGCTTTTAAAACATCTGGCAGTAAAAATCACTTTAAAGAAGGAAGATTAGCTGGGCACTGGTGGCTCATGCCTGTAATCCTAGCTACTTAGGAGGCTGAGATCTGAGTATCAAGTGTCAAAGCCATCCCAAGCAGGAAAGTCCATGAGACTCTTATCTCCAATTAACTACCAGAAAACCAGAAGTGGCTCTGTGATTCAAAGTGGCAGAGAACTAGACATGAGTGAAAGAGCTCAGGGACAGAGCCCAGGACCTGAGTTCAAGCCCTTAGTTCAAACCCCACAACCAATTTTTTTGAAAGGAGGAAGTTCAAGCCTAACCCCCACCCACTGTCTAAGTAAGCACCAGTTAGTGTTGATATTGGCTTATCTGAGTTTCCCAAGTCTGTGCTGGCAGACTGTAAGGAGACACACACTAGCAGAAATGCTTCCCAGAGGGAGAACATGGACCATCCATCCCAGCAGGAGAGAATAGCTCAGGATCTGGTGGCCTCTCTCCTCCCCCTTTTCTTGATCTGGACCAGACAGTGTGATCTGCCCTTTTGGTCTCGAATTCTTTCCACTTTCCTTCCCCCTCCTATCATTCTTATTCTAATTTCCTTACTTCTAAAAGTTCTACCACACTGCTACAATGTGAGGGTTTATTGACCTCCTTTGGTTCACAAGTCTTACTTACACTTAAGCCTAAATGTCTCCATAAAAATAGCAAAGTTAAACACTGCCCATTAATGAGATCTCTTTTATAGTATTTTTTTCTTTTTTCTTTGCCAGTCCTGGGGCTTGAACTCAGCCTGGGCACTGTCCCTGAGAGTCTCTTTGCTCCAGACTAGCATTCTGCCACTTGAGGCACAGTTCCACTTCCAGCTTTTTTGGTGGTTAATTAATGAGTCTCAGGGACTTTACTGCCTGGGCTGGCTTTGAACCTCGATCTTCAGATCTCAGCCTCCTGAGTAGCTAGGATTACAAGCCTGAGCCACCAGCGTCCAGCACACTCCATGATCTTCAACCATGTTGTTAGTCCATGGTGTCTGCAAACAAGGTTTCTCCAGCTCTCGGTTCTTCCTCCACGGTAGTCATCCCTGACCTTGCTTCTCGTGTCCCTTCTCCGTTTGGAGCATCTACATCTCAGGCAGGGGCAGACCTCCTGCTCTTCCCTCACAGTTGCTATCATTCCACCAAAGTTTTCAGTTCCTCTTTTTTTTTCACGTCTATCAGGAAGTACTTTCCTCTTCTGAACATCCAAATTCAATTTTGAGAAGTAGGAGTGCCTTTTTTTTCACTTCCCCTCTTGAGTGTTTAGAATTATGTTTTTATTTCTTAAGATTCTTCTCCCTGCTGAAGTTTCTGGCACCAGCTCGTCATCCTGGCCAGACTGGAGAGTGAGCATTCCTGAAGACAGGCAAGCCTGGAGACGCTGCTCCAGTGCGAGAGGGGTCTGGGCGCCCCGACAATTGAGCATCTCTCCAGGAAATGCACCTTACTGGTGCACCTCCAGCCGAGTCAGGTGGGATCAGGGATGGTGAATGTAAACTCAGGCTGCCATCTTCCTTGAGCGATGGATGGACATATTTATAGGGTAAAGGAAAGGAGCATGAATAGAGCTCCCAGCTCAAGATGTACAGAACGGAAGTTTTCAGAATGATGGAAAGGGCAGGACTCAGAGCCTATGAGGAAGAGTTAACCTTAAGTAGGGTGAGGAGCACATGATAAACCTGGAGCAGAAAAACATTTTAGTGATTGGGTTTGCAGGTACGTTTGGAAGGCAAGAATTCTCCACCCACAGCACCTGAGAGGATAACCAGAAGTTCAATTTCTTGGGCCACATCCTGGACCCAATAAATTAGAAACTTCACGCTTTGAGGACCATTAGTGTAGTGTGAAAAACTGGACATATTTGAAGATTTTACAGGAAATGTCTTTTGTTCCCTGAATGAGAGAGTAGATAGGACAGGGGTGGGGTCAAAATACGTCTGGAGAAACTGTCCCACATCTGCAACAACCATGGAGGAAATGAAAAAGGCCAGAATCACAGCCCTCGGAGGCACTGGAGATGTAACCACGCATCTTTTGTTGTTGAGTACTGAGAACATTAGCAAAGGCTCTCTGATAAGGAAGCAAGGGGCATATTTAAAATACATTGAGTTCATTTGTGTGTTCCTTACAAAGAAATCTAGTTTGTAAAATCCTATCATAAACTAGGTACGTTTAGCAGTTTTCACTTTTGTGAAGTACACTCAACCTACTAATTCTGTTATTGAAGCATCTCAAAACAATCTCTGGAAGTGTTACTGTCCTTATTTAACACAAAGAAAAAAATCGAGATTAGTCAATGCCCAGGCTCCACAGTCAGCCCCACGATCAGGGTGAGTTCGCTGGGTTTCCTGATTTCTTGTTCCCTTACTTTTCTTTCCAGAATTGAACAAAGTCTCTATTTCTCAATGTTCTGAAAGACCTCTAACTGAATAAAGCAAAAATGTCTGCTCTCGTGCCTTTGATAAGCTGGAGAAGTAGGTTTTCAGTTAGTATCACCTCCTCAAAGCAGTATCAGATCTGCAGAACTTAAAGACATGGCCCAGTTTTAGCCTTCTCAAGACTTCAGCAAACTCTTCAGTGTGGTATAGGAGCCCTTGGTCTCTCCAGAAAGATCACTGAATAAAGATAAGCCCATCCAAAAAGCAGCAGCTATGGTTACAAAGTAAGGTCCAAGGATGAAGTAGGTGGCAATAAGAGCGGGGGGTTAAGGAAAACAATAAACAAGGCCATGAAAGAATGACAGAAACCCGTCCCTGGCCTTGTGGTTAGAGAACTGAGTGCTGCCACCAATAAGCAGCTCTGCTGGCACAGTGCCCATCCTCAGATGGGGGTCAGAGCTGAGAGGAAGCCACAGAGCCCGTGTACTGTGGCCAGAGGCCGAGGTGGAGGGAGGAGAAAGGGCTCAGGGACCCGGCTGGCTGGATCATGAAGAATAACGCTGCCATCTACCTCGAGGGGCTTTGGGGAGGACTGGATGAGTTAATTCACAGAAGCCTTAGAACGTGGTCTGCTCCCTATAAACACCTTGTCAAGGTCAGCTGTCTTCTGGAGAGGCGTTGACAAGCATCTACACAAACGAATGCACGTTTCCCTCCCGGCTGGCTTGTTTAATGAGGATTTGAGGATTTGCCAGTACATAAGATTCTACCCATCTCCCCCACCCCCACCCCCAGCAGAAAACAAGGTATCCTGTCTTCCCAAGACACAGGGCACAGTCATGTGCTTTCCTCTGCCACTGTGCTCAGACCCTCGACCCCTGACCTGTGTCTGCCAACCCACCTGTGGCAGCTTTTCCTATATCCAAAAGAAAAGAAAGTTGAGATATGAGAAGCTGGAAAGGCAGGAGAGTGGTTTTGCAGGGAAAGAGAAATCTGAGGCTTGTAAATTGGTCTCTCTGGACCCATCCATCATCCTAACCTCAGTATTTGATTCTGATTCTAAACAGATCCCTGCTCCAATTAGATAAAGGTTTATGCATGAAGGGTGCGAACTCCATGAGGTCACTCTGCGCCCCGCTGGCATGAGAAAGCCAGGCATCTGCTCACCTTTGTATTCCGCCAGGCACACGCACTCATAGCCATTAACCAGGTCCCTGCAGGTGGCAGCGTTCAGGCAGGGCGCAGACAGACACTCGTTGTATTCCTCCTCGCAGTAGAGGCCGTGGTAACCTGGAAACAGAGAGAAAGGCCCGCTGTCAGTGCATCCCCTGAAAAGCCACACAGGCCAGGCAGCTAGAAGTGGGTGGGGATTCATCAGAGAGTAGCTACAGACAGACAGGGTTTAAGGAGCTGGGTCTTCAGAAATAGCATTGAAATGTGAATTTGTACAAAGTAGATGAAGGGGGGAAAACATTTTTAAAAAGGGTTATTTTTCTTTGTTTCTCTGTTTTAAAAAATGTACTTCAAGATCTATTGGCTATAGAGATTTTTATTTTATTTCTTTTTGGTTATTATAATGGTGATGTACAGAAGAGTTCCAGTTACATAAGTCAAGTAATGAGTTCGTTTCTTTGGGGGCTCTTCCAGGGCTCTCTTCCAGTTTTTCCCTCCCATGTCCACTCGTAAGGTGTATAGTTCATCATCAACGCGGCGTCCAGTGAGTACCACTGCTGCATTTTTTCATCCTTTGTCCCTCCATTTCTACAGCGCCCCTTACCCTCCCAAAGACATACAAATGAACAAACAGAACAAAAAGGAAAGAAAACAAAAGAACAACAAGAAAGAAAAAAACCTCTTGTTTTCATGTCTGGAGTTCATTTCAGTAAGTATTATTTTCTATGATCAGATGCACATAGGCATCGTGCCTTTCTGTTCCTCTCCTAAGAGTATCTTCCTTTGGGGTCTCTGTGTGTGAATGCCTGGAGACTTGTACAATTTGTTATGTCCTGGTATTATATATCTAGCTTCCAGATATGAGAGAAAACATTTGCCATTTGTCTTTCTGAGCTTGGTTTACCTCACTTAACATGAATTGTTCTTAGTCCATCCATTTCCCTGCAGATGGCAAGAGATTATTCTTTCTAATGGTTGTGTAAAATTTCATTGTGTATAATAAATAACACATTTTTCAGATGTATTTATCTATTGTAGGACATCTAGGCTTTCTTCCTTCCTTCCTTCCTTTTTTCCTTCCTTCCTTCCTTCCTTCCTTGCTTTCTTTCTTCTTCTTTCTTGTTTTGTCCTAGACCAGGAATCAAACTGGCTATTTGATGCTTGCTTTCACTCACTGGTTGGCAATCTACCACCTAAATCATGCCTCCAGCTCCAGTAAAAGTCCTTGAGTTACAAGGCCTTGAGTTCAGGCCCCAGTACCATCCCCAAAATAAAAAAAAAAATAAAATAAAAGCAGTGATGTATTTCTTTTGTTTTTCAAGTTCAAATAGGAAATTAGCTCAAAGGGCTTAACTGAAATTACTGTTGAAAGGTGAGGGTTTTTGTTTAAAAATAAAATTATATCAATGACAATCCTTCAAATTGTGCCAAATGTTTTAATTACTAAATATATAATAGAAATGAAGACCAAGAAATCAATAATTCCATAACAAAGTCAGCTTTTGTGCTCCTATTTCCAAACAGGTGTTTATTCTAAAAAGTCAGGAGACAACATTCTTTGAGATTCACTCAAAAGTTACGCTGTTTTCAACTTTCAAAAACATTTGTTATTGCCAACTTGCAGTGAAACGAGGCCATTTTTTTTTCTGGCCCTGTCCAAACAACAAAAAACATGTGAGTGCTTTCAAAAGTCACCCTGACTGTGTTAGTTCTGAATCCAGATAAGCTGAAGAAAAAAAATAAACTCTTGCACAAGTGGGAATTAGAACTGTGAGCTTTTCCCCAGCTTTCCAACACTCTGCCGACCCTCAAACTCAGAAAGGCCTTTAGCTGTGCTAATGCGAGTGTGTGGAATGCTTTGTTTCTTGCACCTACCACAAACTAGCTCAAGCTCACATTTGCATTATTAATAGAGCACTTCTCAAAGGCATTGCCATTTTAGTTAGCTTGGAACTCCTTTCCAAATTTAGGCAACAGTAATAGCCTCTGAGGTCTTGACCTTCCAAAGACAGCTACACCACGGGTCCAGGTTCTCATTCTTCTTTCAGGACTCTGCTTTTTGTAATTTTGGACATGCAGTTCCTATTTTTCTTTATTAGAGTTCCCGATAATCTAGAAAAGAGGTTCCCAACTAGCAACAATTTTGCTCCCCACCACCACCACCACCACCTCAGAATACATTGGCAAAGTTTGGAGACATTTTTTGGTTATCACACTGGGAATGAGCGAAAGGGCTATTACTGGAACTTTCCATGGGGAAAGCCAAGAATGCCACTCACCAACCACAACGCACAGGAAAGCTGTCATGACAGAAGGCTCTCCAGTGAAACAGGTCAATACAACAGGTGGAGAAACCCTGTTCTAAGGTCATGGTTCAGCAATATACAGCCCGCAAGCCAAATCCATCCTACTCTGCTTATTAAATAAAGTTTTATTGAGATGCATCCACTGTGTATGGCTGGGATGGCACTGCAGCGGCAGGCTGAGTCGTTGTGGCAGAACTCATATGAGTGGAGAGGCAGAACAAGTTATGGTTGTCAACCATTTGCTGAGTCCTGATCTAGAGTCAGAAGAAGCTTCTTTCTCTCTGTAACAGCTTGAATATAAACTTCTCAATATATATGGTTTGTAACTGTTTCCTTCAATTCCACAGGTTGCCTCTTTTACTTTGTCAACTGTTTCCCTGGTTGTGCAGAAGGCTTATAGTGGATTTGTTGCAGTGCCTCCTGCTGGTTTTTGCATTTGTTGCCCATGATTTTTAAGGCATATAAAAGTAATCATTGCTGCAACCAATGCTTTTTCCCCCGCTAGGAATGCTACAGTTTTAGTTCAGATCATACACTTTCACTTGACTCTTTTTTTGGGGGGGGGTCCGGTCGTGGGGCCTGAACTCTGTGCCTGGGCGCTGTCCCTCAGCTCTTCAGCTCAAGGCTAGCGCTCTACCACTTGAGCTACAGCGCCACTTCTGGCTTTTTTCTTTTTGCTTATGTGGTGCTGAGGAATCGAACCCAGGGCCTCAGGCATGCAAGGCAAGCGCTCTACCACTGAGCCACCTTCCCAGCCCCTTCACTTGACTCTTGTGTGTGGTATGAGATAAACGGCAATGCAGGGAAAGTGGCTCAGCAGTAGTGCTTGCCTTGCATGCATGAGGACCTGGGTTCCATTCCTCAGCACTACATATAAGCAGAAAAAGCCAGAAGTGGCACTGTGGTAGAGTGCTAGCCCTGAGCTGAAGAACTGAGGGACAGTGCCCAGGCCCAGAGTTCAGGCACCACGACCACCACCACCAACAACAACAGCAACAAAAAGATAAACAAACAACCTTAGAAATAATAAGTGTTGCTGTGGATGTGGAAAAACTGGAACTTGTGCAATATTGGTGGGAATGCAAAATGGCGCATTTGCTCTGGAAACCAGTATGGAGGATCTTCACAACCATTAAAAATAAACTCCCATAAGATCCAGTGATCCCATTTCTGGATGTTTAATGAAAAGAATTGAAAGCAAGATCTCACAGATATATTAATACTACTATATTCCTGACAACATTACTCAGTAGCCACATAATATAAATAACCTAAATGTCCATCAGAAGATGAATGAATAGAGGAGATGTGGTATGTGTATACAACTAAATATTGTTCAGTCGTGAAAAAGGAGTAAATATTATCATATGCTCCAACATTCAGATAAACATTCAGGACATCACTCAAGATAAACTAAGCCAGCCACAGAAGATCAGGTTCTCATGATGCTAATAGAGAGGTCAAACGAAGCAAGAAGTAGACAGTACCTGGCAGGGATAGGAGAGGGGAAATTAGGGATCAGCCTACTGTTCAAAGTGATCCAAGGTGAACAAGATCTAAAGACATGCTTCACAACACAGGGTAAATGATTCTCCAACGTATGGTGGAAAATTTGTTGACTATTTAGGAGGCTAAGATCTAAATTATCTCAGTTCAAAACCAGCCCAGAAGGAAGATCTTTGAGACTCTTATCTCCAATTAACCTGTACAAAGCTAGAAATGGAGGTGTGGCTTAAGTGGTAGAGTACCTAAGTGAACAAAAAAAAAATCTAAGGGACAGGACAGAACCCTAGCCCTCAGTTCAAGCCCCAGGATCAACACACACACATACACACACACACACACACACACACACACACACACACACACACACACACACACACACACACACAGTTATTAAGGGTAATTTTGTATTATATTTGTCCTATCATAGTAAACATAAATATTGGATATATAGAGTTAAATGTCTGTTGGCTCCTTTTCCTAACCATAATAACCTTTTGAATACTCAGAATAGTCCTGAGCAGGATCTTTTTAGCCACGTTTATCCTATCTGCAGATCTTTTTTTTTTTTTATCAATTTGGAAGGATAATAAATAACCCTCCACACATCTTTGACCTCTGAATTGCAGTATTATTTACACAGACAAAAATCAAAATCAAGCTTCAGGAAATCAGCCATAATTGTTTCATATTTTGGATGGCACATGAGGAAGAAATTGTGCAGAGATAATGAAGCTGGTGATGGTATTTTTCTTCTTGAAAAGGGGATGGGGAACACAGAACAGAAGTTTCATCGTCTAAAACTGTTTCTTCAGAGATGGTAACATTTAAATGCCTTTATGGAAATATCAAGGCACCCCTTAGACTGGGTGCCAAACAGCATTAAGTTGGACTGCTTGAATAAAAAAGAAAGAAAGAAAAGCATTCCTTGCAAAAGAGAAGAGTTCTGTGAAAATGAGCTGGCCACCCCCTGCTGATAATTAATTCAGGCAAACAAATTAGCCCAGGGCAGCATGCCCAGGGTCTGAAAAGTTAAGCTAGTCCAGGGAATTTTTTAAAAAAGACCAGAAGGGTCAGATCATTGTGGCTTCTTCAGGGTATTGTATTTCATTGTCACCAGTCCATGTTTGCATGATTTGTTCTGGAATATTCAACTCCAATCACTTCTCTAGACTTGAGAGGACACAGCCTCATTTCCCTCCGCCCACCTGAATCTTGGGAAGAGCAGCAGTGGAGAAGGCTGCTGTGTTTAGAGACCGGGAGAGGAGGGGGGGGGGGCAGGTTGTGAAGACCAGTTTAACTTCAGAC